ATTATCGTTCACTTAAGTTCTTCTTTTTTCGCCGTCGCAAGATTTCAAATCGGTTGAATATTTCTTTTAGATATGAAGTGAAGCAACCTTTACTTCTCCGAAAATCGTCTTCTTTATCTTAGTGTCTATCTCCTGCATTCACAGTGGCCGCTCAGCACATCAAATACACGCTCTTAGGTAAACTTCTCACAAAAGTAGAAAAAAATCCACGCGCCGCCATCTTTGATTTGAATTTTCATCCTTTTATCTCGCGCTTCTTTCGCACGTTTCTCTCGCGCGTCACGCAAGAGTGTCCTGTTCCCTGCGCGAGGAAACTGGTACCAGCCACCTTAAATGATCMCGAGGTACAATTCCGTGACGATATAACCAGGAATAGGCCGCAAATAAGACGTGTTTGCGATTTTTAGGAATCAAATTAAAACGTAATCAAAGCGCATTGTGAGGCAACTGGAGCCGGATACAGAAAGTATCTCAGTCATCCATACGCTTAGTGAACGTCGTGCTTTAACATGATTATACGCAAAGCCACCTACTCACCAATCCCAGAGCCGTCACATGGTACAATGCTGACAAATTAACTTGAAACGTTATGTAAGTAGGCTACAGATTTACATTAAATTCGGATGTTGGCATTGAATTTTGACATTTCTATCTATATTCTTGGTCTATTTAATAAAGTAGTCGAATGGTACTCAACACTGACGTATTGACGTAAGGCTATGGATAAATAACATTAAACACGTTTTTTTGGTAAGTTTGTTTGTTTTTATGGCTTTTTGTTTTCTTTTGTTTTCTTTGTTTTTGTTTTTGTTGTTGTTGTTTTGTTGTTGTTTTTTTTTGGCTGTGTACTGTCGTTTTGTTTTGTATTGTTTTGTTTTCGCCTGTAACGTCATGTGAGACACACCAGTTCAGTATCATATGAGCGTCATGTGACACACACAAGTTCAGTATCATATGATCCAAACCAATAGACCAGCCTACGCAGCCTACTATTAATAGAAACCTACATAAAATCTCAGGTCTATCTGATGCCGAATTTCATCGTAGTCGTCTGAGAGGGCAGAAGGAGAAGTTTCCCATTTTTTGCAAGAAATCGTAAGCTTGTGAATCTACAATTCGACTTCTATCTTCCATCAGTTCACCGGGCGGAAGTTGGTCGAAAGAGAGAGCAACTATCCGTTACGTTATTCAAACGACAGAATGGGAAATAAAATCTGGTGCTGTCGTACGGTAAGTATATCTCGTCTTCTACGGTTTTATCGTTCGCTTATGCTATGGAGGCGCTCGGGAGTGATAAACGACCCGACTACAAACAGTAACACGAGAGATAGCTATTGGCGACAAACGACCTAAATACAAATTAATTGAGACAGAATTTATAAGAATACTTATGAATAAGAGAAAGCGACGTTCCATCGGCTGTTACTTACGTGACTTGGGCATAAGAGTGAATTCAGCAGACCGGCATTGCTCATTCTCCATTTCCACTAATGAAATCTCAGCCTCAGTGCCTCGTATTTCGCCTTCCCAGTACTAGGATAAAAAAAAAAGTGTCAGCATTATTACAATACATTTCTGTCATCTTGTGTTGAGCCAGTTTGTCCTGTGTTGTAGGGAGATAATGGCGAAGAACGTCCCATTCTTTCTCCATCCCTCAAAACTAAACGAAACATTCCCTACCTCCAAACGAGGCGACCAATCCGTGGAGAATCGCCAGAACCAAGTTCAGAGAGTGACTTATCTGTTACCTCGAATAGTACAATAATGCAGATACCGGGCAGACCTAGCACTCTACGAGTTGATAAAGAGGTGATAACTTGTTGCTATTTGTTACGTAATTTATCCATTTACTTATTTATTTTTTTTGTCCACATCATAGGGTTAATTGCATAGGGTGTCCTTCAACCGCATTTCAATAGCCTTTTTTTATTAGCCAGCGTAAAAGAGAGAGAGGGTTCAAAACAGCAAATCATTTTTAGGGTAATATTCCGTGTCACGCGCGTGATTTTATGAACATAACTACATGTACCACTCAATACAACACTTTATCACGCAATCTAAACTGTGAAAGTTCTTGATAATGATCTTCACCTGTGATATGTTAAAAGGTAAAGTCTGTACTCGAACCAAGAGGCCCAGACAGCTAGAGCTTATCCTGGTCTCCTCAGCATGAAGTGACTAAGAGTATAACTACTCCTCCCTAGATGGGATGTTAGCCCATCCAAAGGTTACCCCACTACCCCC